ATAGAGACTTTAGGCTGCAAAAAATAGTTTAAATCCTTGGGACTCTTGATAAATGGAAGCAAAAAATAAAAGGGTATTGAGATATTTTCCCTTTTAAAAAATGCGTTTGGATATATCAAAAAATGGAAACCTAGTACGGCCCCGTACCCCACCTCACCTCTTGTCCTTTACATTTCTAATTTGGGATATTCCTCACTCTCTCTCATTGACCTTCCAAACCCTAATTGGATAATGATGACCTCATGACTACCTGATCCATATGGTCAAGAGGGGATGTATGAGTTCTTTTTAGGGATTGTATACAATGAGACAATTTATCTTTGATACAAGGTGGTCACAATTATTTGCAGTTATCCAATGTGAAGTTTGATAGCTTGGATATGTCACTAAGTTTAAGAAAAATTCTTTTGAAGGTTTTGCTTGGTTGTTTGGTAGCTCAGATATGTCACAAAGTTCGAGAAAAATTCTTTTGAAGTTTGGGCTTGGTCAATGGAATAATTGCAGTAACCCACTTTCACATCTAAGAGTCAAGATTAGTATGACCACTTTGTACTAAAGGTAAATGGTCTCATCCTATATTTTCTGTACCCTTTATATGGGTCAGTCCACAACAGTGATAGACAAATTCATCGGGTCAAATCGGACCTGGCTGGGTTACTGGAACTAGCCCATGGGCAGATCCCATTGAGGCCGGTTTTAGTGGTCAAGTTTTGAAGTTTGAAAAAAAAATCATAAAAGATTATTTAAAAATCCAAAAATAAGAAACTTATTTATAATGAGTTTTTATATGTTCTTTATCATTTTGACAAAGATTGAAAAAGTATCTTTGATGTGGGGTATATTGGTCTAAAAAAGTATCCTTTTTACTCGGTTGTGGATCATCCACCTCAAAAATAATGTTGGGGATTGCAAAATTTGACCATTATTTTTATTCTCTACACCTTCATTTTTTTTTTACTTTTAAAAAATAAGATGCAAATAGAAATCGCACTAACATCATCATCATTGAACCTTATGTCAATTTTTTAGGGTCGGCTACACAATTTTTATTCAATTATTCCACTCTTTCATAGGTCATACCCATCTAAGAATGGGTTGAGGCCTTAATAGTAGTACCACCGAGTCTTATGACGAAGTCTCGAACTCCACTCTCACTAAAGAGAGGGGGCCCAAGTCCCCACTGATTCCCAAAAAAAAAAAAACAAATGATCAATATCCTCAATCATACCATAAGGCAATATAACATTAATTTATGATTCAAGAAGAGATATGACAAAGTTTTATGCTGGCTACCTATCTAACCCAACCATCTTCCATTTTTTAGGCTTAGGATTGGCATGACCAACTTGAGACTAGCTATGACGGAGTTAGCAATCCCACTATTATGTAGTTTAAGTTTATAAATGCATAAGGCATATGAACTTTTCAAATCTTTTGTGTCTTTGACACTTGATTTTGGAATCACATGCTTTTAATATGACCAGACTTCAGAATAATTTACTTTTACTGTATAAGTTTTTATTTCTTCCTTTTATATGTGTGCTATAAAAGCCTTTCAAGTATTTCTCTACATAACTTCCAAATAATTTGTGACGCTATGGTGCTTAAATATGTTAGGGAATTGGATGAAACTTAATTATCATGTTGTAATTTATGTTGTATAGTTTTTTTTTGTTTATCTTGTATTATTTTTTATTTTGATTATATTAAACTATTTATCATTGAATTTCATTCTATTTATTTTCCTTGATGCTTGAGTGAATTTAGAGTTACTAAGATCGATATTTAAAGAGAAATCACTAATTTAGTGTTTTTTTAGAAATGGTAGTCATATTTTATAGCTTTAAAACTTAAATGTTTAGCCATTCTTTTAGGACTTTAGTAAGTGGAATTTTTTTTAGAGGATTAATTAGCCATCCTATTTATTTCATTGATCATTATGCTCTATCTATATTGTTATATAGAGAGAGTTTTAAGATAAGGTTGAAGAAGTAAAAATAATTTAAGAAGGAAGTAATTGGTATAATTATTTAAGAAAAGATTTCGTTGCATAATATAGCCTTCCAGCAATGAGAACAACCCTCAATTGATTAATTGGAGGAGAAAACAGAAAAGGATAATGCATGTGAGGTGGTCATGAAGAAGGGGGAGGGAGTTGCAAGAGAAAACATAGTAAGAGGAAAAGCAAAATAAAGAAAAACTACAAGGGACACGAGTTGTTCAAAACCCACCTTATATATTTTATTTTCTAATCCAGGTACTTTTTTTTGTTTTTGTTTTTTGTTTGTTTAATATAGATGATGATATCCTTTTTATTGAATAAAACCCATCTCAATTTATTTATAGAAGGTAAAACTCACAAAGTACAACGCTATATGTTCTATCTGGAGTTTTAAAACAATTCAATTCTGATTAGGTTTGGTGGGTGAGCTATACGAGTCTCTCATGCCGAATCCCCCTGATTTTATATTTTTTAAAAAATAAATTTTCCTCCTGTTCAGCCAATCTGAACACTACTGTGGGTAAGTGAGCCTCCAACCAAGCCTATTATAAAAGTACTACTAGTTTATGAAAAAAGAGTGGGGTTTGTATAAAGCTGAGATTCTAAATAATCAAATTAGAGCCCACCTTCAAATAGAGCAGAGAAATATGGTTTCAATATGCCATTTATAGTTTGGGATATTTTCCAAATTTTGAAAAATAAACGGCAAAAAAACACTCACCAATCATTGATAAATACCTCCAAATCATGTAAGAAAAATTTGTATACTGTATCTTTATTTTTTACAACTTTTTATTTTTAAAATACCTTGAGTTGTACAAATAGGGTACTTGGCCTCTCTCATCTGAGTCCGAGTCGACTCGGAGAGTCCATGTACACTGTCATGTGCTATATGCTAATCTTTCATATGATAAACAAAGTATACGTAATAAGCTTCTATTGAAAATCATGGTGGTGTATTATTTTCATGAGAGAATGAGAGTTTGGTTAAAGGGTACTTGAAGTCTAGATATAAACTAGTCGGCACGTCCGACGATGAAATTCGCAATGCCTGGATCAGGAACTCGATATTGTCAAAAAAAATAAAAAGATAATGTATGTTAACCGGAGTCAGAAAGAGCGAGACTCACTTCGGTGGAGGGTAACTAAGCGAGAGAGAGAACCCTTACTGGAAAGTAACTAGAAAATGAATGAAACTCTAATTTTAAAAAAATAAAAGAAAGTCCTAATTTCAATCATGTATAAACTCATCAAACAACCTTGAAATATACATTTTGATTAAGCGAGGGTGGCATTAGTTTAAGCATGAAGTTTATAGAGACGTCTAACTTTAAGCGCTATGGCAGAAGCACACTGTACACCTATTTTCTTGAGCAGAAAATTTATTTGGAAGGATATTTTAAATCTAAAATTACTTTTAAATTCAGTTTTACTTGAGGGAGTAAATAGATGGTATAATGTCAGGGGTGCATAAAATCTTTTGGCCTAACTTTATATTATAAATGAAAGCCACACCTCAAAACCCATATTTTTAAAATATGAAAAAAAAAGATTTCAAAATCTTTGAGATAGTGCATCTCGTGACATATTTTTAGAAAATCTATTTTCAACATTTTCAAGTGTATATAAATTTTTTTAATTGTATTGTTTTTGCAGCTCGAAATTTCACAATTAGAGGTGAAAATAGATTTTCAGGAGTTGCTAGCACCATAATTATAGGGGTGGCAATAGGTCGGGTACAGGTTGGATACGGTTGGACCCAAACCCAGATCCAACCCGTTGGATCAAAAAATTGGACCCATACCCATACCCATCGGATCCTAAGTCTACCTGTCGGGTCCCAGGTCTAGTCGGCTACATTGCCACCCTATAACTATAAGTTTTTTTTTTTTACCATCATATTATTGGCAACCAAACCACAATCCCTCTCCATTAGATTTCAAGCCATATGATCTGTAGTTTAATAGCTAAAGAGGACTACGAGTTCTCATTGTATTTAATCCTTAATACACGTAAACGAATATGGGTTAAAATTTGGACCCATACCAAGACCCGAGGTCGGGTCTACCTACGGGATCCGAGGTTTAGTCGGGTTGCCACACTTACATAACTACATTTTCTACGTGATCTTGGGGTTGTCTTAATTTGATTGCTGATTGCTTAGAATGTTGACGCCTTAAATAAGTCACACCCCTAATTTATATAGTTTTAAAACCTAATAATCGAGTTTCGAATCGCCCACCCACCACCTAGACTGGCCATCAGGATGAGCTAAATTGGCAACAAATCCGCAAAAACATAATAAAATATTAATATCGGGTTATTCTTGAAGGAGATCCAGATCACCCACCTAGATTTTGATCTAGGGTTTTAAATCACTTAAAATTTAGGGTAATTATCATTAATAATATCCTTTGATATTAAAAAATCTCGTAACATGCCCAAATTTTTGGAAAATCTACTGTTTATATTGTTTTACCAAAAATACCCTTCACATTCGTGATGGTCCTACGCCCTTTCACATGCTTCATATCATGTGGTCATGGGCCCCACTTTTCTTAAAGAACCATCGCCATTCTAATACGGCCATTATGGTCCTAGGATGCATTATGGAGCATTATGATACTATTATTGGGATGATGGTGATCCCCATTAAAGCACCTTCGTGCTTTTGAGGATCCATCACCACCAAACTTACTCAATGGGTCTTGAGGATCATCACGGCGCGTGATCCATCACCACCAAACTGTTGTACGGTGATGCTCGCGGCATCCAAAAGTATCACATGGAACCAAAAGAGATATTCCCTTTTTGAAGGGTATTATTGGGAAGAAAAAATAAATATGCAGAAATGGGTATAGATGTAATTGTAGGAAAAACAAAATAAAGTACAAAAAATAAAGAATGAAAATGGATGTAGATGTAATTTTAGATGTCATAAGGATATTTTTATTACTCGAATTTTTTTAAAAAGATAATTTGCAATATTCTGTTTGAAAATCGATGGCAGTTGAAATCCATTTTCTACGCTGATTTGGTTGTCCGGTTAACTTCAAATCTCCCTTCCTCTGTTTTCTGTTACCCGCCATATAATTAACAATGGTGAAGCCATCCAATAAACCCTAATCTCTCCGCAAATTCGAGTTGGGTAATGAAGATGGGCACCTTTACATGGCCTTCAGAGCAAGAGGTAGGTCATCTGTGAATGGCTTGCTTTGATTCATCTTATTTATGCGACATTTTTGTTTTCTTTTATTTTTTTGGCCTTTTCTGGTTCGATGCGTGTTTTCAGTCATGGTTTTAGTCGATTCGTGATGGGTTTTGCATGTTTTTTTGGACGGGTAATCAGTGTGTTATCTTTGCATCTAAAGAAAAACTCAACTCTCTCTCAATTCACATTTTGCAGGTTCTTTCTCTTGGTTGTTAATGGTTGACTTGTTAATTCATTGTTTCTCAATGGATTCATGATGGGTTTTATACGATTTTTTGTTGGGTATCAATGTGGTCTCTCTATCTCTCACAATTCACACTCTGGGCTCTTTCTCACTGTTATGGTTTATTGTCTTGTTAATTCATGATTTTTCAATGGATCCATGATGGGTTTTGTCTATCTTTTGGATGGGTAACAATGTGTTGTCTCTCTCCTGATTTAATGGTTTCTCTATACATCAAATACTCGCGTTCGCGTGCACCTTATTTCATTGGTTCTTGATGGGTTTAACCTTTTGAGATTCTTAATGGGTTCTTAACCTGTATTTTTCTGTGAATTTGGTTTCAGTTCGATAGAGTGAGAAAGGCTGTGGTTGCAACGTCAGGATGTGATGAGGGAGACGTTAGGGTGGCTGTATCTCCCTATAGAATATGTCCCTTAGGTGCTCACATAGATCACCAAGTAAGCTTTAACCTTTGTATTCTTGTTTTTTTCTGATGATCTCTGCATTGTTGTTTTACTGTAACTATGCTGTATTCTATTGTTTTACTGTAACTATGCTGTATTCTATATGGTGATCTTCTAATCCTCAACTGTTTCATGAAATTTAGTAAGACTACGTTTAAAAATTTGTTAGCTTCTGTCTTTTCTATTATCTAGGGTGGGACAGTGTCAGCTATGACAATTAACAGGGGAATACTTTTGGGATTTGTTCCTTCTGGTGATTCTAAGGCAAGTTTCCTTCTCTTTATTGGAAATATTTAGTTTATTATCTTTTACATTTCTGTAGGTTTATAGAAATTTTGCATTTTATAAATTATCTTTCAAAGACTTTTCCCGTAAGTATTCCTTTTGTGCTTTAGTTATGTATATGAACTTTGTTGATGATATCAAATGGATTGTAATTCAGAACATTGAACCATAAAAGAAATGATTCATAATGATATAAATATTTATCGCCTGTTGTAGTGAACTACTATCTGTCGGAGATTTCTTGCCTTGTGTATTTTGCTTGAACTTTGGATGGAATTTGTTTATACAGGTTTTGTTGCAGTCTGCACAATTTGCTGGAGAAGTGAGATTTAGGTCTGTGTTTATTTCTTATGTTTTTTTACTTGTTATTTTGAATTGCAGCTCATGGCATATTCCATCTATTTTAAATTGGGTTTCTTCTCCAATACCTTGCACTGTTTCCCTTTAGGTTCTGATTATCTAAGTTTCACAGAAGATATCAATTTGAGATGGATACTTGGGCAAAACCAAATGTGATTTTGCTTTGTGTTTGAACTTTGAATCCTCATTATAGACTTGACCATATAAGAGGGCATCTATTGTCAATTACCTCATGTATTTGGACCAGATGTGGTTTTCCCCTGAATTTTTCTCAGTACCAGTCATTAAATAGATAGCTGATTGGAATTGCAATGCTGTTCTAAAGTTCAATTAAATTGATATTAAATCTCTTTATTTCGATTTACATCCATGCTTAGGACAGGGAACCTTGTAATGTGATTTGTGTCTATTCTGGTCTTTCTAGCTAGTTAAGGTTTTTAATGTGATCTGTGTCTATTCTGGTCTTTCTTGCTGGTTAAGGTTTTTAATCTATTTATTGACGTGTTCGATCTTGCTAGCTTTGCTTTTTGCTTTTTTTCTATGTCAAATGGAAGTTAGTGCCTAGCATTTACAATTTACCTGCAGTAAGATGTTTTCTTGTGAGTCATTAACCCCTTTTCTAGTCGTTAACCGCATATCATTACCATGGAGTGAGTTGCTTCCTCAGCATATCTCTTAACCCATGTGGTTCTTGTCATCCTTTGTTTTGTTGTTTATGTTTGATTGTATCCTCAGTACAAATAAATAAATAAAAATTAAGAAAAAATATCTGATACTTATTGCCAAATCACCTATATAGCATCACTTATTGCCAAATCACCTATACAGCATCATTTGAAGTTGCAGTTGTTCCTAGTTCCTAGAATCTTATATAACTTTTTTGCAGAATTGATGAGATTAAAAGCCCAAGGTATTTGGTTGACCTAAAAAACCATGTAAAAAGTGATGAAGAATGTGGTTGGGGAAATTATGCAAGAGGTGCCTTGTATGCACTTCAAGCAGGAGGGAAGCATCTGCACCAGGTTAGGGAACATAATTCTACCTTTTTTTCCCCTTTTTAATCAATTTCTTCCATGATATGACACTCTTTATGTGATAAATGGGTTATGTTCTCACTTGAATACTTGCTTTTTTTGGCGGGGAAATTTACAGAATTTTTTTGTTTCGTTTTTGATAGTTAAAAAAATTCCGTATAATTTCTGTTTTACGCTCAACTCCCCCTTTTTGTTTGTCTTTCTATTCCTAATTTACCCCTAGATCAGACATCCAAATGTCTGATTTCTGGTCCCTTTTTAGTGAAAGACTTGTTTGAACATCAATATCCATAGTTCCGAACTGGTCTTTCGCTCAATAAATGACAAATGAGTGCATTCAGACACCCAATTTCCTAACCCAACCTGCACTCAACAAATTATAATAATAATGAAAATAATAAAAAACAAGTTGGTTTAGTAAAAGAGGTGTCTAGGCATTGGATGTCCAAACTCCAAACTGTTCTCACTCAAAAAATGGACAAGTGGCAGTTTGAATGTCCTGACCCACTCGCTTGTCGTTTCTTATTCTTTTCTTTATTTTTTTAGTGAAAGTGGTTCAGAAATTGGATATCTGAACCAGGAGAATTGCAAAACACACTAGTTTGGACATCCAATTTCCAAACCAGTCTTTTGCTAAAAAATTAAAATAAAAGCCTTTATTCAGACATTGGATGCCTATGCAGGAAGTCATTTGGGAATTAAAAAAAAAACTAGGAGAATTGCAAAAAAAGTAGTTCGGGCATCCAATGTCCAAACCAGGCTTTTGCTAAAAAAAGTAAAAGAAAAGCCTTTATTCCGACATTGGATATCTATGCAGGAAGTCATTTGGGAATTAAAAAAAAAAAGGGTGGGACTTGAGCATAAAATAGAAGATATATGGAAAGTTTTCTAAATATCAAAAAATAATGTTTTCTTTTTTTTTTGGTAATTTTTTGTCTCTTTTTGTTTGGCTAAGCATTCGTTCAGGTGTAAATGGTAACTTTTACGCAAACATGGATTTTATTCAGTCCTTAATGAACTTTTTCTTTGGTGGAACTGATCATAGTAAATTTATTGTTTCTCAGGAGAGTTATGAAATCTCTTTTCAAGGAACTAGTTCCATCGTGTGACAAACAATTCAAAGACTTAGAATCCCCATAGGAATAGTAGATAGACATAGACATTCTAAGAGTTTATTTACCAAAATTTTTATGAGTTATGTCCTCTTGTACCAAAAATTTTATGAGTTATGTCCTCTTGTTATGAATTACTTTCTTGTACTTTATTCTTTGAAAATTTTCGTTGAAAGCCAAAGATGATCACGTCCTTTGTGAAATACTGGAATATGTGTTTATTTTTCGGGCGGGGGGCCTGTCATGTGGGGCCATCTATATGAAAGGATAGATTCCCCTGACGTATTTGCACAACTAAGTTACTTCCCATGAGAAAAGAAAATTCTAAATGAAGAAGTTAAGAGAAATAACTAACAAATGGATGACAAAGGTGAAGAACTTGTACCCAACTTGTTCACTGGTTTCAGTTTTGACAGTACTGCTGTTTTTCCATGCTACTATGGATGATGCTAGTACTGAAATATTTCAATTTTGTTTGGTAAGAAAATTTGAACCTTCCCATGGTGATGATGTTTCTTCCAATGTTGGATTTCCAGATGTCTATGCTAAGAATCATGATAGCAATCAATTACTCATGTCCATATTTCCTCTACTCTATCGTTGAAAAGTGCACCATATCTACCATTTTTTCCCGTAAGGCTTTCAAAAAATTAAGTGAATTAAAATGGGTTTTGTGATTGCTGCAGGGTATAATTGGATATATTTGTGGTTCAGAAGGGCTTGACAGCTCAGGGCTCAGCTCTTCGGCTGCGGTAACTGTGATGTTCTGCCTTTATGATATTGGGAAACTCCTATGGGTGACTAGGGATGGGGTTTTGTCTTTGGATATTTGACTCACTTTTAGGGGTCCTTTTTTGCATCAGTAAAACCATGACCTGTGAAAGGGGAATAAGAAAAAGAACCTGGATTCAACTTGCGATATCACTGCTGTTTCCTTTCTTCCTAGTTCTTTGGTGATGGTGTCCTTGATTGTTGCTTTCTTGACAGGTTGGGATCGCTTACTTATTGGCTTTTGAAAGTGCAAACAACATAAGTGTATCACCAATTGATAATATTGAACTTGACAGGTAAAGTTCCTCATTATTCATTCACAGTGTTGCTCAGTAAGATGTTTGACTGAATCATGGAGTTAAATTTAGTAATTTACGTCTGGTATTTCTATGCAAAGAAATTGCTTTCTGCTCTAATTCTTTATATTACTACTTGTGCCATGCATATGTAGATACGTGGTGGAGATGGGATGGAGGGAGGGAGGGAGGATATGTCCCTGGTCCAACGGATGGATGATTGTTATTGTATAGATTGGAATCTTGGAATACCTAAACCCCTCTAAGCCTCATCTCTAGTTCACAAACTACTTGTTATGCCAGTGCTTTTTAGCAAAATTGAATTGTTCCTCTTCAGCTTTGTGGACTTGATCATTAGTGTCAGAACCATCTTCTGCTGCAACCCTTATTACATTTAATCCTGTAGTTTCCTAACGTATTCATACTCCCAATCTTAATGTAATATTTTCCCAAGTACAGAAAATTATGAAAATGTACTAAGATCGTTACCAATTCTTGTGGAGAAAATAGATGCTGAAAACATATCCTTGATGTTTCCTGTGGCCATCTTTTCCCTAAGGACAACTCATGCTATGTATTTATATAGTTTCCTCCATAGGGATACCATTCAGGATAGTTCATCTTAGGGTTTCTACTTTCTAAATTAGTTTGTCCTTTCCAGGTTAATATTTATAGTTCACTAAGAATCATTGTTAAAGTCTTGGATCACATTTTTGAAAATGGAACTACTTGGAAAGCAACAGTGCAATCAGATGTGAATATCCTTGCACAACGTATTTTCTTTGTTATTCAAATTACTGTTCATGATCTTTTTAGCGCATCCATCCTTGTGCATGAGGGGGGTGTACCCTTTTTTCTTTTCTCGTTAACAGCAAGATGATTTCTATGTGCAATAGAAAAAGAAAAGTTGTCTCTTTTTTATAACTAACAGATTGTCTTGCTAATAGCATAGTAATGCTTTGGGAACATGCTAACCCCAAAAGCAGTATCTGATTTTTTTTTTATTATTTGATATTATCAGTATTGTGGATTAGTTATTTTATTGTTTCATTTAGTCAGGGGAACTAGTGGCCTTCAGAAGAAGTAATTTTTAGCTTAACTGAGTATATCCTAAATCTGTATTTCTGAAGAAAAATAGTATTCATGCAGGCTGATTGAAAATGGTTATTTAGGTTTGAAGAATGGTATTCTGGACCAATCAGCAATCTTACTTTCCAATTATGGCTGCCTTACCTGCATTAACTGCAAGGTAACATATGTGCTTTTGTCACTTTGCTTATTAGATTCCAACTAATGAATACTGTCCACATTTTTTGAGAGACTATGATGAAATTGTTGTGTCCAATAGTCGCATTCCATGTTGATGATTTTCACAGTTTGCTGCTCAATGATGCCAATGTGGCTATGATTGAATATGGTTACTAGAAATGAAAATGATGCAATTAAATGGATAACGTGCTAGTTTAAATTGTGAAAATTTATTCAGTGAACCTCTTATAAGTCAATGCAACCACTCAGTGCATGGGAATGATTGAAATGTTAAATTGGTTTGACAAATCTCATTGAGAATGGAATTTCCACAATTACTGAAAACCCTCTGCTACCATTTGAAAATAAAAATTCCTGCTATGCCAAAGAAATTGATTTTGGTTAAATGAAGGAGGGAGCTCTGTATGTCCATATCTTTGGAGAGATGAAGGTGATTTGGAAAAAGAAATTTCTATAAATTATAAACTGAAGATTATAATTAAAGGATTAGCTCTCCTTATTTTGCCTTCTTTTTCCTTTTCTTTTTTCTTTTTTTTTTGGTCCTGATGGTTCTTAGTTTGTTCCTTTTTATGTCATTTATTTCTATTTGCCCATCACTGGTCATTAAAATCATTTAGAGGCTAGTTATGCGCTTCTATAAAGTATCTGAAGTTGATGCTGCCTCAAGCTCTTCAATGACACATGTATTCTCAGGGTTACATTCTATATCTCTGTATTAAACCTTAGCCAAATTTGGTCAAAAGTTTTAATTTGGGACTTCCTATTTTGCTTATGCAGACCAAAGATTACACGCTCATAAAACACCCACAATGGCATGGAGGTCAAGAAATTAAGAGATCTAAGCCATTCAAAATATTACTGGCGTTTTCTGGCCTGAAGCATGCTTTGACCAGCAAACCAGGATATAATTCCAGAGTTGCAGAATGCCGAGAAGCTGCAAGAATTCTCCTATCGTAAGATATTTCTCTCTTAGTAGCTAGAAATGTGAATCCCGTGCAACAATACCATATCTTTCCATAAATACAGAGGTTGGTATTCGCCCCCATTTTTCTTGTTTCCAAATCACTGTAGGTGCAGTTTCCATCGTGGTTATCAAAATTGGTAATCATAATTGCAGTTTATTTGATGCCAATTTGGTCTTTCTTATGTACTTGTTTCTTATTGAAATCTGGTAAGTTATGTAAATCCCATTACAATAGACAAGAAGAAAGTCAATTTTCCTTTGCTGTCCTTCAGTAGTATTCATGGCATTTTGGACGCCTATAATAAGCTTTTTAATATGCGGAAAGTTTATATAGAGCCGAGGCTCTAAACAATCAAATTGGAGCCTACCTCAAAAATTTCACTAGAAGGGGTTATTTTTGTGCCCAAATATCCTCAAATTGATCATCTCGACATCAAAATGCATAGCTATGAAAAAAAATAGATTTCAAGTTTTGGAAATAGGGTAGTTTGTAATGCATTTTTGGACGGTCAATTTTCAAGATTTTCAAGTTTTCATAGATCTATCGATCTACACTATTTTCGAAGTTCTAAACTTTATAAATAAAGATGACAATATATTCTAAGGCTATCACAAAGATTTTCATTATTGAAACCACATTTCTCGACACTATTTGAAGGTAGGCTCTAATTTGATGGTTTAGAGCCTGGGCTCTATACAAACTGCATTTACTTAAAGCATGGCATGCAGCAATTTTTGGGACTTTTCATATTGGGTTTGTCTAAATCAATAATTCATTTCCCAAGAATTTAAGGAAAGAAAACAAACCATATCAGTATCATTTGTTGCTGTGTAACACTGCACGTTTGTATTTCTAGTGACATCAATAATTCATTTCCCAAGAATTTAAGGAAAGAAAACAAATCATATCAGTATCATTTGTCTGCTGTGTAACACTGCGCATTTGCATTTCTAGTGACAAGGGAAATGTATGCAAAAAATAAAATTACTTTTTCTGTGAACAAATGTATCAAGGATATTCAAGCAATGAATTTAAAAATGTGATTCTCCGCAACCAAGTCTACAACTCTATGGTTATTGAATGAAAGTTGAGCATCTTGGACCGTGGGTTGGTAAGATTATTGATTCAAAATATAGACTTTACTGTACCTCCTAATCCTATACCCCAAGAATGAGCTAATGTTCAACAACATCAGAGTACAAATTCAATCACTTATAGGATTCTATTATTTGTTGTATTTGAGCATGTTCCTTGTGCATGTCCTGTATGTATGTTCTTTGTTGAGGATTCATCTATTGGAGTATATATATTCAATTAATTAGAATACTTAACCCTCGCATTATTAACTTCACTATAAACCGTTCTTTTGCATTCTTACAGTTCATCTGGAAATGGAAGTCTTGAGCCTCTTCTTTGCAATGGTAGATAATTTTAGTAATATCTAATTGTTGATATGATTTTGTCATAGGCATGCTCTGGACAATTATACTAATAACCTTTTTCTCTTGTAAACAGTTCTACCAGATGTATATGAGGCTTACAAGGTAAGCTTAACTTAAAGGATAGCATCTTCTCATTTACCTTTTCACTTCTTTCTGTTGAATGGTAAATAATGATTCTTGTTTTGCTAGTGTGTGGTCTTTGTTGTATACTGAAGAAAGGTTGATTTGATGATCCTACTTAGTGCTCTAACAGTGTTTCTTGACATTTTAATAGAAACTCAAAATGTATTGAGAATATATTTGAAGTTATTCTAAGCAATAAAATGAAGACTTTAGACTTCGATTTATTCTTGCTAAATCTTTGGCTTTTATTATTTTATTGAATTATGAAAAAAAGGAAAAACTCCAATAAGCAATCAGCTTTTACACAGACATATCAATGACTTTCCCTGTTTTCTTAATGCAGGGTGAATTAGAAGCTAATCTTGCTAGGAGAGCAGAGCACTATTTTTCTGAAAATAATCGGGTGCTCGAAGGTTCATTCTCTTTCTTATGATATGATATTATTTTGATAATTATTCCAATCCATCTCTGTCTAATTATCTTCATGGTTTGAGTGTGTACTTACGATTGTCCTACTTACCACTAAACTCATTTGGTTGGTCTTTCAAAACTGAATTTCAGGGCTTAAAGCATGGGGTTCGGGCAATTTAGAAGATTTTGGGAAGCTGATTTCTTCCTCGGGTCTAAGCTCCATCAAGAACTATGAGTGTGGTGCGTTGTTTTACGTATCTTTATGAGATGACAAAGTTATTCCATAGTAATTGGGAAGAGGAGATTCTTAGAGTAATGTCCTATAACCTGATTATTATGCATCTAATAATCTTTTAATGTGCTATATAACTTAATTTAAACTGCTACCTATGAAAAGAGATCCTTTCTTTGCCTAACATACCATTCATGAGTGTCACATTCTTCTTGTTAGAATTCGTGGGAGTATACATGCACGGACATTGAATGGAGAATCGAGAGAGAAGAGAGAATACAACATTTACGACATTTACATTGAATGGAGAATGGAGAAAGAAGAAGATTGAATGAAGAATGGAGAGAGAAGAAGAGAAAACACAACATTTGCGTGGTTCAGGTCGAAGCCTTACGTCCACGGATCCAAAGCCCAACGGGCTACATCTTCACTATTTTGGATGAATATTTACATCAATCAGTACCTCTACATATAGAGAACAATCACACAATTACAGGAGATAAATATGGTATGATTCTTGGAGATAGAGGTAAATAGTAGGAGGCCTTATCACCAAACTGACTTGATGACCAAGTAACTTTGACTTGGTCTCTTCTTATCTTCTAGATACCTAATCTTATCAAGAGATATATAACTATACATCCATAATGATGTATATCAATATGACCCGAGATATCTATATCCTAACACTCCCCCTCAAACTCAAGATGCTTTGTCACAAAACAATTGGAGTTTGAACAATACTAAGTTGCCAAAAACGAGCAATGATCTTTAGATTGCTTGAACAACAAGCACAAAAAAGCGACGGCATACCTCAGGAACAGACCTTAGAAACATCCAGGATCGAGTAACGAAAAACTCGATCAATAACAGATAAACAGGCTTTCAGAATTTCCAAGATCGAGAAACAAAAAACTCGATCAATAGACAAGATCGAATAACAGAAAGAAATTCGATCTTCTCACAGGATGGAGCAATGAAAAACTCCATCATCCTAGAGGATTGAGTAACGAAAAACTCAATTATTAAACATAGGCATTCGGAGCAGAAAAGATCGTGTGAACTCGATCATCACGCAGGATCGAGTAAACTCGATCATCACACAAGATGGAGTAACGAAAAACTCCATCATCCAATAGGATTGAGTAATGAAAAACTCAATCATCAAACATGATCAAGTAACAAAAAACTTGATCATCAACTAGGATCGAAAGATTCGATCATTGAACAAGATGCACTTGAAACTCTCTCTCTTCCAAATTCCTCTCTTTTTCCTCCTCAGCTTCAAGCCTAAATTGCTCCCGTCTTTGTCGCTCTCTCTCCCTCTCTGCTTCGCGCTCCTCGTGCCTAGCCTCTCGCTCTTTTAATTATGCAAATTGGTTTGCTAAATAAACCCAGAACCTATTACTTCTCTTCTTTTTCCCCTGCCTTGATTCCATTGGCTCCACTTCTTCATAATCAAAACCTTCTCTATCATCCTTTACAAAATTCTCCTCTCTCTTATCTCCCTCATACTCAAATTCCAATCCTAAACTCAACAAACCATTCCCATTCCCATTCTCATCGATGAGAACCAAGGATTCATTTGAGGCCACTAAAATATCTTACAGAGACGTGAAATGTGTTTGTTGATGATCACCAATGTCTGCCAAAACACCATCGAACAATGGAAGCTTTGGCCTATTTTTGCCAGGCAAGAACATACCAGCCTTTGACATCAAAGAAGCCAATCCCGAAGTCTTCATGGTTGCAATTTACCCTCTAGTATTTGGCCTCGAGATCACCACCACCCTTGTTCTCTTCTCAACCTTTATATCTATTGGCATTATCTCGAATTCTTCATTGCTATCTTTGGACTTGAGAAGCAAGGGGTGCCTGATACCTTCTATATCCACAATCAAATTCTGCTTTTTAAAGGTTTCTATTCCTTCATTCCCATGAACTCTGATAAACTTGGGGAGATTTCTGCTAAAAACTCTAATAAGTAGCACCAGAGCCACTGGTATCAAGAATTATGGCCCTAGGCAACAAAGACCTATGTGTTGTCCTAATCCCAATGCACATTCTAGATCGACGCCTGGTTAGATCGACGCCTGGTTACTAATGGTGTATCGATGCTACCTGCTTGAGAAACGCTGATTGAGATTTGTTCCAATAGATTTTTTAGATGTTCCATGTTCTTCTTCCTCTCGAACCTATTCAAAGACCTATCTGATGAAATCTCCATTAACTGATTCACGACCCTCTTCGCTGATCGAAGAGTTTGGCTCACTGTGCATAACTGTTGAATTGTGCATAGCTTTTCCTGACTTCGTAGACCTGAGGCAGAAGCAGTTTTAGCATTCTGTTTGCTCCCTGAAATCACCTTTATGTCACTAGCGAAGAGAGTCTTGAGTATGGTGCATAAGGTTAACCTCAGAAGCAATGGGCCTGAACTTCTTCTCTCTAGTTTTCATCCTGCCTATTCCATTCGCCATCATTTCCTTCGGTTTTTTTTTGTTTTTTTTTTTTTGGGGAATGAATTCGAGCCAATAATAGAGGCATAGTTTTCTGAACTCACCACAGCTGTTAGACAGAGAGTCACAATCAGATTGAGGCTTCACCGATAAGAAAAACTAGAAACAAAAGACGAAATACCAAATCATGAACCCCGATCAGAGAAACTGAAAACAAAGGCTCGATGCTTGAGAGACGAAATATCAAATCGGCTCGATGCTTGAGAGACGAAATATCAAATCATGAACCTTGCTCTGATATCATGTTAGAATTCGTGGGAGCATACATGCACAGACATTGAATGGAGAATGGAGAGAGAACACAACATTATATTGAATGGAGAATGGAGAGAGAAGAAGATTGAATGGAAAATGGAGAGAGAAGAGAGAACACAACATTTATGTGGTTCAGGCCGAAGCCTTATGTCTACGGATCCAAAGCCCAATGGGCTACATCTTCACTATTTTGGATGAATGTTTACATCAATCAGTACCTCTATATATAGAGGACAATCACACAATTACAAGAGATAAATATGATATGATTATTGGAGACAGAGGTAAATAGTAGGATGTCTTTATCACCAAACTAACTTGATGACTAAGTAACTTTGACTTGATCTCTTCTTATCTTCTAGATACCTAATCTTATGACGAGATATATACCCATACATCCATAATGATGTATATCAATATGAATTCGAGATATCCATATCCTAATACTTCTGGTGCTAGTTTCTTGTCATGTAATTCAGTTAATAAACATGGTTTCAGCTTGACTATCTATTGTTTGTCTTTTAATTTTTCCTTGTTAAAATAACCGTGGTCTATAAGCATTTTGTCTTAAACTTTTTTTTTTAACTTTTTTCTTTTCTCTGTGAAAAAATAGGATGTGAGCCTTTGATACAATTATATAAGATACTTCTTAGAGCACCGGGTGTATTTGGGGCTCGATTTAGTGGTGCTGGTTTCCGAGGATGCTGCCTTGCTTTTGTTGCCCCAGAATTAGCAGCCGAAGCTGCATCATATGTGAGGAAAGAATATGAGAAGGTTCAACCTCAATTGGCCTCACAGCTCAATGGGGATGCAGCTGTTTTGTTTTGTGAGGCATGGGGGAGTGCTCACGTTGTTTAATTAAAATTTGTGACTTATATTTCGTTCTTCACCTTCATTTGTTATTGTTGTATTCATTCTTTCCCATGAAAAATAAGTTCTATTGATCAAAAAATAAAAGTGCTTGGAATTTTTACATGATAGAATTTTTGTTTTCTTTTTTATATAATTGAATGAGTTCTGTCAGTTTTCAAAGAGAAGTAGAGAACTATATAATGTGGACCCTCGTGTGGTTGGTTTTTTGGTGCAATTCACACGCCAATAACATGCTACTGTGTTGGACACTTTAAAGCTTTGCCACTTCTAGTGAACCTTTCTTGGAAAATCTCACTTTTTTTTTTTTTTGGTAATTTAGTGGGGACTCCCCTACCCGTTTTTCAATTAGTTAGAGGTTTTTATTGCGAAAATCTCTTCTCTTTTTTTTTGGTAATTCAGTGGGGATGCCCCTACCCTTTTTTTAATTAGTTAGTGGTTTTTGAAACTGGCATCGGGAAAAATCTCACTTATCAAAGAAAGGATGTGGTTTCTATGTGGGCATTGCCCGCATGAAAGAACGAAGGTAAAAGTAATTCGACGTGCTATTTTATCTCAATTATATATAAATTCGTTGTCCCTAAAATACTAATAATTTTAGGGGGTTGATATTTTGGACACCTCCTCGAGATTTGATTTGGGAGGTAGTCTCTAGATATCACATCGACGAGGGATTGCTTTCTAGTGTGCGAACAACTAGTGGAGAGATGAGTGAGTTTTCAGTGATAATATGTTTACATCAGAGGTCAATATAGAGCTCATACCTTTTTGTCTTGATTATGGACGACATACGTAGGCACTTACAATATGAGCATCATGGTGTATGTTGTTTGTGGTTGACAGTTTTGTTCGATGAGACCCAAAATAGTGTCAACACAAAGTTAGATCTTTTGAGGGATGCTCTAGAATCCAGAGGTTTTAAACATTAGCCGGATTAAGATAGAGTATATGGAATGTAAATTTAGTAATAATAGGAGTAGAGACGAGGAAATAATTAAGATTGATGGCCAAAAATATAAAACAGAATGCACTTTTGATGTCTTGGGTGTACAATTTAGAAATGTAGAGAGATAGAGGAAGGTGTTGCATATAGAATTAGAGTTGGTTAGACGAAGTGGAGATGTGTAATCGGAGTTTTATGTGATCCTACATATCAATGGAATTGAAGGGCAAGTGTTATAGCACAACTGTGAGACTAGATTTGTTTCAATAACAAGAAACAACATATCCATAGCTGAGATGAGGATATTAAGATAGATGAGTGGCAAGACAAAAAGTGATAGAGTTTGAAATAAATATATTCAGGAGAATTTCAGTGCAACACTAATAGCCAATAAGATGAGAGAAATTAGACTTAGGTGTGCTGGTTATAAGCATTATAGATCTAGTGCAATACCTATTAGAAGGTGCGAGTTAGTTCAAGTGGAAGGCTTAAAAAAGACAAGGGGTACACCTAAAAGGATATGGTTGGAAGTAGTGAGAAAAAATATAGGGATTTGTAGTCTCACTGATGACATGACCCTTAATAGAGTAGAATGGCTAGGGGTGGCAACATATCGGGTATGGGATGGGTTCAGCTAGACCTGGATCCAGACCCGAATCTAAGTTTTGGACCAAGACTCAACTTGTCGGGTTCAGAAGTTTTACCATCATATACCAATATTATTGGCAACAAGGTCACAATCACTAACCATTAAATTTCAAGTTGTCTGATTTGTCGTTTAATAGCTAAAGATGACTACTAGTTCTTATTGTATATGATCCTTAATACACCAAAACGAATAGGACTTGCAATATTTTATCCCCAATAATTTACGGGTATGGGTTGGGTTGAACTTGACCAGGATCCGAATAGTCTTTGGGTCCAGGTTTTGGACCCGGACCCGACCCGTTGGGTCCAAATGTTGGACTCATATACGGACCCGTATCGGGTATACTCGGCGAATCTTGGGTCAGATTCGGGTTCATCGCTACCCTTAAGAAAGGCGGACCAAGATTCATTTATATGCGTTATCCTGACTTAGTAGATCCAAGTTTGACCCACACCTGCCCCATCTCCATATATATATATATACAAAACGCCTATACGTGAAGTTCTACAGTACTTCACCTATGGCTTTGTCATCGTTCAAAGTTTATCACACGGTCACAGACATCTGATATTGTTTAAATTTTAATATGTTTTTTACAAATCATAATGATCTGAAATTTTATTGGTGTGTGCGCCTTAGTGAGATGCACATGAATAAAATATAAAACAAATAATTTGAATGATAAAAATTATGCAAAATACCCCTATAACGTTTAAGGGGTAATTTCATTATTTTAATATATGACTATTGTTTTAATACTTTATTTTGGTGCGACGTGGTCATATGTACATATGCCCCAAATTTTAGATAAATTTGATTGTAAAAATTCAAATACTACTGGACAACTGTGGCCGTATGATGAACTTTGGACGGTGATGAGGTGTAGGTGAAGTACTGTAGAACTTCACCTATAGGTGTTTTGTAGATGCTTCCATATATATATATATACACACGAAATTGTGGGTCATAAAAATACCACAAACATGGTTTTCTAGAAGTGTGGTTGCATTATACTATGATACACTCATTGCATGAGACTCTATATATATATCTGGAGAGTATGAGGTTAGCCTAGCTAACATCTACAATATAATCTCAACATTTCAAATTGAATTTGGGCCGATCTTACAATCACAACATCATTTTATTTAATATGTTTTCTACACTTCTAAATAACATTAAATTTTAGGCATCGATTGTTCTCATCAACGCTCACCAATCCAAACAATGACACTGATTTGAGAGTCAGTAATGGTGTGGTGGTCTTGGAAACAAAAATTGAAGGATATTTGAAGCTCAATTCCTTGAGGCTTTTGGAAAATGTTGTTTTGTGTTATTACTCTGTGATCCATATATTTGGAATTTCTCTGATTGCTATGTATCTTAGCCTTCCTTCTCATGCAAAGCATCTACTAAAGAGTAGGGGGATCCAGATGCTTACTTTCTCAGCCTTTCTCACAGTTTCTTCCTTTACTAACTGTGCCTTTGTTCCCACAAATGAGAATATGATAGCTTTCAAAAAGGACACCCCCTCTTCTCTTGTTAATTATCCCTCGACTTCTACTGGGAAACACTCTCTTCCCTTCTTGTTTGATGCTTGTTATCTCCTTTCTGAGAAGGTTGACATGCGAGAGGAGTTCGGATATCTTGTTGAGAATTACCAGGTGATCGGCTTCGACCATTTATTCTAATTCGAAGAATCGGTGTATCTTTTTCTCACTGTTCCTGGCTTCATACTGGTGCAGTTTGTAGTGTTTTGCTGGTTACAGTGGAACTCGGAGGCTTTCAGTGAGTTTGGCAATGGTGAGAAAGTGGATGCAGGGTTGTTTCTCTCTGTCAATTTGAGGTATTCGGGTGAATCCGTGGTGGATTTGTCTCTCCTAAAGCCCGCCTTGCAGGTGCTCTAGTGCTTGATGATGTGAGTAAACAGTCTCTCTCTCTCTTGGAATCCGTAGTCGATTTCTTGAGATATATACCAGCACAATTGCCTTCGATCCTGCCGCTACTTGCAAACAGTTAATAACTAATGGCTCGAGGAAGAAAGTTTTCATCATGGAAACCAGCCAAAGCATGCATGCAAATAAGGGTGTGGTTTGTATAAGGTTGCAACTTCAAACAATCAAATTTCATGATTATTAGGATGGTTTAAGAATCTATTTTCATCTCTAGTTATAAAACTTTAAACTTCAAAATTAGTTTAAATCAAGTAGATCTATAAATACTTAAAAATCTTGAATATGGACGGTCTAGATAATGTGTTGCAAGATACACTATTTTTAGGACTTGAAATCTTTTTTTCTTTTCATATTCATTCACCTCGATGTCGAGATAATCAATTAGAGGGTTTTCCAACATCAAAACAACCTTTTATGATGGATTTTAGAGGTGCACCTTAATTCTACATTAGAAGGTTGCAACCTTATATGAACTTTTTTCATATTATAAATAAATAGATAAAAGGTGTGGTTTGTATAAGACCGAGGCCCTAGACAATCAAAGTAAGACGTACCTTCAAATAGTGTCAAAAGATGTTGTTTTAGTATTGAAAATCTTTGTGACGGCCTGAAAATTTATTTTCTTCTCTGATTCTAAAATTTAAAGCTTGAAAAATATTGTAATATTTATGAATGATTGAAAATTTTGAAAATTAGCGGTTTAGAAATTACGTTACAAGATGCACTATTTTCAGTATTTGAAAGCTATTTTTCTCATGTCCATACATCTTGAGGTCGAGATGATCAATTTGAGAATTTTTGAGCATCAAAACAACCTCTTCTTGTGAGTTTTTGAGGTACGGCTTAATTAGATTGTATAGGGCTTCACCCTTATATAAATTTTTCCATAGATAGAGGCAGTTATTATAGTTAATCGCCTCTATAACAAAGTTTCATTAGTAGCAATCAGTTTGTGAGGACACACAGGCACACACACATGCACACTCACGCAGAGTTCATGTTAGCAAATCCCTAGATCGATATCTTCTGTAAAGTTAATCCAAAGAAATTATCCAAGCTGATATCAAATGGTTGCAGATATACTTTAATACAACCAGTATATAGTTATATTTTGATACAAATATTTTATACTACCGAATACTTATGGTACAAGAATGTCTCAATCATTCAAGCCGTCACAAGTAAAATATGACCAACCGTAAGATCTCACATTTAAATGCTAAGAGTGATTGCGAACTTCTTGTGCTAACGTTAAACGGTCTCATTCTCCACTTTTCATTGAATATAACCCATCACTGCCATGCGTTGTCGAGTAAATTTTCTTTTGTACCCATTTACACACAGGTACCTTCATCCCTAGACATGCTTCCCAAGGAGAGTCCACAAGAGATCAGAAAACCAACAAGAAAAGGGAAGAAAAGTAGAAAATCTGATAAAAAAAAGTCCTATTTTCACAGCCTACTAATATGGTGGATTTTGTGATCATAATATGCATAACAGAGCAGAAGCCGTGATTAGAGGACCCTCTCAACTTTAATGTTTTTTACTTTGTTTTTGAAGTCTTAAGGTAAGGTGTTGTTTCTCTAATTTTTTATTCATTTTGGTTTTTTGAATTTTTATTTTGGGTAGTTTAGCAGTAGGAATCGAACTTCAGATGTAGCCCAAGCCCGATTCCTGCATTTTTTTGAAATAAGTTAACTACTACATTGATTTTAAGCCTGGACTAAACGCCTTCTGGAAAAAAAGAAAAATAAATAAATAAAGACCAAGTATACCTAAATAAGTTGTAAAAGGACTATGGGACTATTAGTTATTGGGACTCTTTAGATTAGGAGAGATTTTTTGGGCACAATGGTCTTTTTTAGCTGGGTAGTTATAACAAGGAACTTTAGATCTACAAGTTCTGTTTATTTTATTTTTTCTGTTGAGGTGTAGTTTTCCTTGTCAGCAGAGACAAGTACCAGTATGCATTAGTGCCAAGAGTGTCTAGTATTTCAGTCTAAGAAGCCGATATGTGTTAGAAATGACCATAAAGTTATTATTTATGAGTAAAGTTTATACCCCAAGTATATATGATACACTTTTCCTTTTAGCATAATAGAATTTTCCTTTATAAGACAAAATAATTGGATGGGAGGGAGGTAGATTAGAAAATGGTTATATTTTTAATATTCAAATCCTAAAGCAAGCACCTCTTATTCTTATATTTTTAATATCCAAATCTTAAAGCGAGCACCTCTTATTCCTATATTTTAATATTCAAATGTATACTAAGTGTCGACATGTGTCAAAGTATCAATACATCTATTTTTTTTTGTCCTCTTGGTTGGCCTTTTAAGCAACAATTTTACGTCCACAAGGCACAAAGCATGCTTTGCACCAAAAAAAGAAGAAACTCTTTCAAGAAATGGAGAATTTACCAGAGTCTTTCCATTATGGAAATCCTTGCCTTTCAATCAGCTTTTATAGATGGAGTACACTTAGGTTTGAATAACCAATGAGATATTATTTGTTATGACAAATCAAGGGGTATTCTTGTCATTATATACTCAAGTTTTTAAGGGGAAACTTGATTTTTTTTGGAATTTATGCCTGCAGTACCTATGGAAATGTTGGATTCTCAATGGGTTATTGTTGCCAAAAATTACATAAGCTCTCCAACGAGTCCTGCAAAAATGTGTCCTATAGCTTCTTTGGTAAATGGAGTAAGAAGGGCAAATTGGTCATCATTTTTGTCATGTTTTATAGAAAGCTCGAGAAATTTACAGTGAAAGAAGGAAAAACTTGGTTGACTCTCTAACAGTAGTACTAACCCTCAATTTCTGCAATTTTTATTTCTTTTCTACCAAACAAGCAGAAAGGGAAAATGTGAGAACTGTATATATTGTGCTCAGTGAATGGATAATATATAAGGATTGTAGTTTCATTGAAAATGCTAATAATCTACATTTCGCATTTTATTGAGGAAATTCGTACCATATATGATCAGTGCATGGTACATAATAATCCATGATAGGAAATGGATGGTGATGACCCGTGTACAATCTACAATACACCAGTGCTGCAGAGTATACTAATCCTATTGCCATTACAAATTGTGATATCAGTATTAGTAATTAATGGAAATGGCAGCTAATGGGATGAAAAGGTACACAAATGTCAGTATAAGTTTACTGTAATCCTCATGACCACAAGGAGTATGTGGTCCTGAGGGCCACCACCATCCAATCAATGGGATGAATGGTGATGGAAGAAGATTTGGATTTATCACAGCAGGACAGCTTTGATGGTGGATACCACTCTCCATCACCATCTGAACCATTGAGTGGATGCTGGAGATCCTCATTACCACATGCCCCATGGTCATGAGCATTTCAGTATCCTTATCCTGTACAATATGGCTCATAATTGTCATATCGGCAATAATAATGGACTTTGCCATGTGAAGAAAGATTTGGGATCACTTGCAAAAATGAATTTGCATAAGCCTCAAGTATATATTTCAGTAAAATAACAGCCAGATATGGTCAAGCAACAAAACATCGGTGCGGTTTGTATAAGGCCGAGGCTCTAAACAATCAAAATAAAGCGCACCTTCAAATAGTGCCAAGAAATGGTTTCAATACTGGAAATCTTTGTGATGGCCTTAAAATATATTTTCATCTATAATTATAAAATTTAAAGTTCTAAAAACATTGTAGATCAAGCTGATCTATAAAAACTTGAAGATATTGAGAATTGACGGTCCAAAAATGTATTACAAGATGCACTATTTCCAAAACTGCAAATCTACTTTTTTCCTCATGTCCATGCATCATGAGGTGGAGATGATCAATTTGATGATATTTGTACCTTATTTAGGTTGCTCATAAGTGCAAGCAATACCATTTGTTGATAATCCGTGCTTAATGCTTAGTGAATTTTCCAATGATGAGCAACTGTATCTAGCCATGCTCCTAATTTTAGTGTTTTTTTTTATCTTGAAGGCAAATACTCTTTTAATATTCTTATATGGTCAGGTATTTCATATTGTGAGTGTTTTTGAATGGAGAACTGTCAAATTCTGCTCATTAATATATTAGTCTATGTTCAATGAATTGTATCTATACCAAACTCATCTAGCCAAAAGAAGCAGTGTTCTGCAACCAAACTAATGCAATAATTTCGTTACAAGAACATTGGGTACCATCCAAACATGGTCTTAGAGGGGCACAAGCCCATCTCTCTCCCCTGAAGGAGAAATCAAAAGAAGAAAATCAAGCAAAATAGTAAGAAATGAAGAGGAGGTCAACATCTTTATCCATCCCTCTCACACAATCCTGCACTCCAAGCCCCCCACCTCATCCTCCACCTTTCTAGCCACCTCACTCTTTGGAACTTCATATATAATGTCAAGGTTATAGAGAATTGGCACAATGGAGATAGAGAAGAGGAAAACCAAGACTGGTCCAAAGATCCACAGCAATAAGGGCATTGCAGCATAGAAAAGCCTGTTTCCCACTGTGTTGAGGATTGATCCCTTCTCTAGCAGCTCACAAACATAGTCAGGTGTGACCACTGGGCATTGCACAGGAAGGTTTATGAGGAAGTTGACTTGGTTGATGAACCTGATGGATAAGGAGTAGCACAGGAAGGCGAAGAGGAAGGCGAGGAGGAGGGAGACATATTTGAGGGCCACCATGAACTCCCCTTGACCTCCATAAATGGAGTCATTTAGGGCCTTCTTGACGCTATAAGTGCTGCTGATCACGGCCGCCAACCCTGAACATAGGAGGATCGAGGTGGTGGCCATCAGGGTCGCGCCCATAATCGCGTTACGCAAGGTTTGGACGGCCAAGATGTTCTTTTTATCATTGTCCTGCACGATAAAAGGAAGAGCTTAGTTAAGGAAATTACTATGTGAAAATGAGCATGTTCATGGCATCTAATCCCAAGTTATTCGAAAACAAGTAGCTTATTATCCTGGCGAAAATGTGTTTGGCATTAAAATAGGCACATTATTACTTTTTTTTTTTTTGGATAACTCAGTGGGGAAGACATGCCCCTACCTGTAATAGATTGGGGAGTTACATTTTGAAAGTGTTAATTGGGGGTGCTAGTGGTAGGAATGGATACCACGATGTGATAACTAAGTGTAGGGATTCTTAAAGTGGTAAGTCAGTGGAGATTTGAGCCCTACCCTTAGGTGAGAATGGAGTCGAGACTCGAGAGTTCGTCATGGGACTCGACAATACTACAGGCAAGGCCTCAGGCCATTCTAAAAAAGGAGTAAAGTTATGCAACTTGTATAACTATACTACTTTGAAGGCACAAAGCAATTAGGGTACATTTGTTTCAGCAAAAATCTCTCTTGGGGACCATCCCACTTTTTAATGTTTGTTTCTTGGGAAAACGGTGGCTAAACAAAATGCAAAAGTGAAATGTTGCTATATAAAATAGTGTGCGGCAAAGTGGCTTCATAGCTCTCGAGCTTTGAAGCCAATTACTTGGAATCAGGCAAATGTCTCTCTTGGAAAACGATTTTCGCCTAAACAAACGCAACCTTGGAGTGTATCATCCACTCTATGGAATTGGCCAAAAGAAGATATGCTGCCATTAGAGCATATCATACATTCCCGCTCTTGGATAAAACCACATCTAAGAGTAAATATCGGGACCCAAACATTTAGGGGTGTAAGCTGCTCACCAAGCTCAGAAGAAAAAAGAAAAAAAACAAAAACAGAACAAGGAAGTCCTAAGATTGAACAATGGCCTAACTTTGAGTCAAATCCAATCGTCTGAAAATGCAATATTCTTTCTTTTTGTTTATACAATGAGACCATTGACCTTTTGTATAGGTGGTCACAATTAATCTTATCCATTGCCAGTGAAATTGGTAGCTATATTTATTCCATTGACGAGGCTCAATATTCAAAATTTTTTTTCGAACTTTGTAACACACCCAACTTACTAGATTTCACATCAAATAGTTATTAGTAATTGTGACCTCCTTGTACCAAAAATAAATGGTCTCATTATATACAATCTCATGTTAAATTGAGAAAATCCTCTCACTTGAATGAGTAATTGTAGAGTATATTCGCCCAAGAATACACTATACAAGCTGTGAAATTGAATCTAGATTCTAGATTTTCTAGGCTTGGGATGTCTCCTTGATTGGGGACCCTGCCTCTTGATCACAGCCCAAAGTCCAAGTTTCAAAACCAAGCTCACCAACCCTTCCAATGTAATTTGTCTCCTTCACCATCAATAAAGATGACCCACAAATACCATGGACTAGTGATCCATGAGTGTATTTGTGTGTGGATTCCACATATTCAGTGGAACCCACCAATATGCTTGAGTTTAATGTTGGTGTTGGCTCTAGAAATGACCTGCAAATGTTGATGGCTTTTAAGGTTCCCTTTCTTTTTTTTTTGTTTGTTATCCTTTCTTCATTCTTTATAGCGAAAAGATTATATATATGCTCCCACTCGAGCATATTATCCATTCACTCCCTTAAGTAAAATTTATCGTGAAGTATTGTCAAGACATACAATTTTTGGGGATATAACCTCCTCGACCGAGCCTCTATGCACAAGAAAATAGATACAAAGTTCATATACGGGCCACGAAGAAAATAATGCCCTATGCATAAATAGAGATCATGCAATTTTTAGACCGTCAATTAAGTGTTTAAAAACTCAAATTCAATTCTATTGTTTTTTAAAATACTCATCTAATGATTTTTAAAGTAGATTTCAAAGTTTCATGCTAGAACAATCCCCCAAGTAGGTCTTTTGCCTGAGGGAGTAATCATACAGTATGCTTCCGTGGGAGTATGCTATACGTCCCCTTCTTTATGCATTGGCTGAGCAAGCATGGAATGCAATACAAGGGTTGTGCTAGTATTTTTGACAAAGCTATTTTCTTTGGGTAACGTTCCAAGACACAATTTCAAAGCCCTTATTACACTTTCGAAGCCCTTTTGAATTTTTTTTGTTTTTTTTGTTTTTGGTTATATATAATTTTTTTCTGTCCTTTTCAAATTCTTTCAAAATGGAAAACATCAATGAAGATGCATGCAATGCACTTATTACATAGTAGTACCCACTAATGTGCATAGTAGCATTAGACTGCCCATTGAATAAAAGAGGGCCCATTTTTTGTCATTTTCATGTCAATGAGATCCTTTGCTTTCTCCCACTAAATATGCTCACAATTCTAGCTCACCTCACTAACCTTAACCCAAAAAAAGAGTGGTACATGTATCATAGTATACAATCCCCATAATCTATCTAATGGAATTAAATTTCGGTAGAATTTGGTACATATAATTGAAAACTACATTATTCAAAAGCCAAACTTTTGGAGAAATCCAAAACATATACGAAATTTGGCGCAAGAGTAGCGCAAAGTCGATTTGTTCAAGTACTGTTCAAAGCTGAACCTTGCTGTTGGGTGAAAAAGACGCTTACAGTTTTTACAGGAAAAAATCTTTATACTTGGAGGGATAAATCTCTATATTTGTATCCCCTGAGGCATAAAACATCCATGGATGTTAAGTGGTGGTTCCTTTGAAAAAGATAAAAATCAGTGGTCCATGACGGTTTGCAAAACCGTTATGGACCTACGGGAGCCGTGACAGTCTCCATATATTTTTTACCTCAATTTTGCATTAACAAAAATCTTATCACGGATCTGCTATACCTGTGATAGACAGCTACAAACATGCTATGTCTATGACGGTCTTTTAATCTACACCATCCGGAAAAATCAAATGGCACCAAGCTTATGGATGAAAATACTGTTCATTTTTGTCATATGTGTTTTGTAATATCTTTATATATATATATATATATATATATAAATCAAACACTATCGGACATCCGTGATTGTCAGATCAGCCCAGATTCAATTTGAACCGTTGGATTCATATGTTCATATGGGCTAATCCCAACTTTTTCCTATATATATATATTAAGATTTTGTAGTTGCTTTTAGAGTCTAAAGGAAAGGGGCAGTTAGCTTCAAACGAGAGAGAGAGCGAAAAAGATCGCAAATGTTCCAAAAAAAAAAAAAAAAAAAAAAAAAAAAAAAATATAATAGACATACACACGCACACGACAAGAGAGTGGGGTGGTAGCTCCCAGTGCAAAACATACGCAATGGAACAAACTAAGCAGCCGTTACATACACGTGGAAAGCTATACGTCTAAAGCCCACTTATGAGAGAGAGACACAGAGAACAAGGACAAACTTTGATCACATGGAGAGAAAAGGAGAGCGAGGACAAAGAGTTTGATTTCATGGGGAATTGGAATATTGATTTCCAATATTGGAGACTTTGAGAAGTAATTCTAATATTTCTCATTGAGAAAATGAAATGACAAATGGTTCTTAAATTTATGTAAAGAAATGCAAGGAACCCATAATATTATTGGGAAAATTGTGCATGGACTTGGATGAAAATTAACAGGGAAATGCCTAAGCTAAGAAACTTGGAACTTGGAACTATTAATTTGAGATTTAACTCCTAATTTACTTGTTTATAGTTAAAAAAGGTTAGGTTCCTTCAAGGTTTGAATCCCCGTGCTTCACCTCCTCACAAAAAAAAAAAAAAGTGGAGGGGGATAGAAAATTAAAGCATAAAATTTTAATTTTCCTAAAAATATAAAAAAAAATCTAACTCTTTTTGCCGATAAATTAAATAAAAACCAAAGATCCATGTGTGTGTAATAAAAACTTTTTAGTTCAAGGGTTCGGTTTTTATAAGGTTGCAACCTTAAACAATCCAATTAAGGCGTACCTGCAAATTTTATCATAACATGTAATTTTGTTGTAAAATTTTTTTAGGATTATCTTAAAAACTATTTTCATATCTGATTAGAAACTATTAAACTCCAAAAATGGTCAAAATCAAATAGATCTATAACATATGAAAATCTTGGAAATGGACAGTCTAGATAATGTGTTGCAAGATGCACTTTTTTTGGGACTAAAAAAACTTCTTTTTTTTAATATTCATACATCTCGATGTCGAGATGATCAATTAGAGGGTATTTCAACATTAAAATAGCCTTTTCGATAGATTTTTTAGGTGCATATGTGATTCTACATTTTAAGGTTGCAACCTTATATAAACTTTTCCCTTAATTAAAAAGCTAACTCCTATTTATCGATCCACAGCCCCACTAATATGCATACACAAGACAAGCAAACTATCGAAGCTTCCACTATAGTCTCTCATATAACATGACCCACCAAAACAAATAATAAACATTACTGTCAAAATCTCTTATCCTACAAAAACATTACTTTCAAAATGAAACAAGTTTGGCTATCAAAGTACTAAAGCTATATTTGCTTCAAATGTACAAAAAAAAAAAAAAAAAATTGAAATCAAGAGGAAAAAACAAGAATATTGAACATAAACAAGAACTAACTAATATGAAATTTAAAAATTTAGAAATCAATAAGATGGCAATGAGTGTAACATGGGTCAAGTTTCTTTGTATTTTATTCTTTTTTTTTTTAGTTTCTACCAGAAATTGGAGCAATGGATCATAATCATTTTTTAAAAAAACAAGATGTGTTTATTTATTTTTACCTTCATCATAGCAAGGACCCAAAGGCGACGAGCTGCTGCATTAACACCAATAATGGTTTGCATGGGTTGGGTCTTAACCTTGTAATAGAGCCATCCATGGTAAAGAACAACAAAGAAGAAGCCTGAAGGAACTAAGATCAAATCCATGTAACCCTTCTTCCACTCCATTTCTCTCTCTCTCCCCTTTGTCTTAGTCCCAATTCTTGCTCTTCTTTTCTTTCTCAACCCTTTTCTCCACCAAGCTCCCTGCACATATATATAATGGTTGATAACACTGAAAAAAACCATGGCTACCCGCAAAATGACTTAGAGGTCCCTAGGTTGGAGAAATGGCAAACACGTCCTCACCTTAGTGGAGGCTGGGATCTTAGGAATTTTCCAAGTCTTTTCTTAGGTGCGGTGATTGTGAAAGTGGCTAGTTTTTCCTTTTTCACATTTTTTTGGTGCTTAAATAGAAAAAAGAGAGTAAAGACTGAATTTAGGGTGCAGTTGGCATACAGATGCATCTGTAGCTATAGAGGTAAGGTGCACCTTTAAATTTTATCATGGTATATAATTTTGATGTAAAATGCTCTTAGGATTATCTCAAAATCTATTTTTATATCTAATTATAAAATTTTAAATTTAAAAAATGGTTAAAATCAAGTATATCTATAAACATATGAAAATCTTGAAAATGGATGGTGTAGATAATATATTGTAAAATGCACTATTTTTGAGACTTAAAATCTTTTTATTTTTTATGGTCATACATCTCGATGTCGAGATGAGTAATCAAAGGGTTTTTCAACATTAAAACTACATTTTCCGATGGATTTTTGAGGTGCATCTGTAGTTCTGCATGAGGTTGAATCCTTATATAAACTGTTTCCCTGAATTTAACCTGGTTTTTCTTTTCCACATGGAATCTATTTGGTCTATCCAGAGAGGAAAACAATGGGGCACTCTCATTTTTCGTTTATCTTGTTTATATCTCATCTATTGATTTCCTGGTTATTTGTACATTTATTTTGGACAAATATTTTGGTGTTTTGAATACCATAATGTCTTTTGCTTGTTTGGCCCTAGAACCCACCTAAACCCCAAATCTCAATTCTAAAAGACATTGTTAATTAGTGGGATCTCCCACTTATTCATCACTCTTTATTAAAAGCTAGTTTACTGCCTTTCTTTTTTGGGTAAGCTGAGGTCCCAACCTTAGACAAGTAGTGTTATAGACCAACCACAAGAGACCCGCTTAAATTTTCCTCTTAATTGGTATCTACCTGCTGTTTGCTCAAGTTGAATTGATTATACAACTAACATCTTGGATTCAAATCCCAACCAGTAAATAAATAAATAAGCAGCTCAAAATAAATGATTTAATGACCATTTCCAACACTAGTTGCCACTATAATGACCACAAAGAAAGTAACTTGCCCATTGTCAAAATTCCACATAGAAGAGACGAAGTGAGAGGGAAGGCATGCAAATAGAAGCCAAAATTTCAAAGTTTTATCCCAGTTTTCCAAATAACAAAGCTTAGTTATGTATAAAAAACTAAGTAATTTAAAATTTTGTTAAATTTATTGTAGAACTTGTTTTGAGGGTAGATAGTGGAAGTGGTAATCCGAGTAAGCAAATGGATAATAGTGGAAGGAGCATGTACAAAGTTGGCAGCCATTTGGCGTGCAACCACAAAAGTAGGGGGCGTTGGACTCCTCTTTTCTTTCCCTCGCCTTTCAAAAAGGGGTACTTGGGATCATACTGTATGCCATCTCCCTCTATCAAAAAGGGGTACTTGGGAACCTCTTTTTATATGAAATTTAGGGGTCAACATGCAAAAGAACCGGTTGGTATTTTTTTTTATAGGAAGAGTATACAATGGGACTGTTTTTTTGCAGTAAGAAATGGCCACAATTAGTCTTGACCATAGGATGTGAAATTAGATTATTGCATTAATTCTATTAACCAAGTTCAAACTTCAAAAAGAATTTTCTCGAAGTTTGTGACACAACCAAGCTCTCAGATTTCACATCAGATGGTTGTAAGTAATTGTGACTTCTTTGTATCAAAAGTGAATGGTCGTATTATATACAATCCCTTTTTTTTTAATATAAATTATTGAGATCCATAGAATAAACATACGATTATTTTCCAAAATTATGGATTTTAAGCTCTTGAACTTTCAAATCTTGCCATCCAAAAGTTGGAAAATCCTTGCTCAATCTTGGGACATTTTTTTGTCAAGTAGTGTTTTAAAAACGCGGATGGTGGGACGGATTGCCGACACCATAGATCCATGTCAGATTGTGAGACTATTGATATGAAGAAGTCTTAAAAAATTCAAAAAATAAAAAATAAAATAGGAAAACTTATGGTAGGAGATTTGGGAGGGGACCTAAAGAAACATTGGATATGCTTTAAGAAAGAAAGAATACATAAAGAGGGAATTTTAGGGGCAGGACTCAGCTGGTACTAATACCCTCGTAGAACCAGTTTGGTCCCAGCCAATTCTTGATTTGGATTGGTGGGTATTAAAATTCTGCTTTCAATACATGAATTACGCGCTTTGAATTTTTTTTGAAGTTGGCCTTTATTGATGTATTATCTTTATCATTACCATAGCCTTATCCCACTATTTAGAGCCCTAGAGATGTTACATCCCCAAAATTCAAGGCCTTGAAAATACCTTATAGCCTCGCTTTTACATGGAGGAGAACAGTATATGCTCCCGTGGGAGTACAGAATCATTTCACAATTTTATTAAGAAGAAAGAGAGGCGCAATGGGTCACGTTATCTGCATGGGCCTTTGCATGTTAATGGGAGACCGTTTCGTCCTCATTTGATGCTTATGTGTAAGCCTCAAAAACCAGTCCTGATGACGTGGCCCTGTCTGAGCCACATATGTTGAAGACTGGTGTCCAATTCTAATTTTCACACCCCCCCCAAAAAAAAACAGAAGAGGCCAAAAGTGTTCATACTTTCGCGATAGTTACTGTCGATGTACTCCCTCGGGCAAAACTATGACAACCAAAAGTAGGCCAGTTTCCATTCCCCGCATTGTTAAAAAACAAGGATTTTATTTTTTGCTAGTTTTTATTTTATTTGATGATCTATAAGGGAATCGTAGTTTAGATTTACGCAATGTAACCCTTAAAATCCGTCGATTCGCACAAAAAAAAATAAACAAATAAAAATATTAGTCTCTGCTCTCTACATGCCTCAAGAAAATGACATCCCAAAATTGCACTCCAGCATCCGATTTTTGGAGAGATAACTAGATATTCAAGAAATCAAAATCTAATTTTCTTTTTTGAAAATCATCATCCAGTGCTACTTATATAGGGATTCCAAAATTTTAAATAAAAAAAATTTTTAAATAGGTATTTAACCTTGTTGTAAAGTATGCTCCCAGGCGTGCATACTGTATGTGCTGAAAGTATGCATGATTACCATTAAATAGAAAACAATATCTAGTAATCATCATTAGATCAATGGATTGCGTGGGTTCGAGATAGAGTGGGACCCACCAATTTTTTTATTATTATGAAATTATGCACACCAATGGTGTATGATATACGTTACAAAACCGCTATTAACCTCAGTGAATGACAAAGGGCCGATGTTAAATTTATGGAGGTGAATTTCCATCATCATAAATCATATAGATACATACAATCTGTACCGTCCATCTCAGGGATGGACGTTGGATGCCCCAAGATGTCTGCGTATTGCCTTCACCAATCCGTAATAAATGAGGGTTCATTTATTCACTTATTTATATTAGTACCCTCAATTGATTTGATTTATCAACTGGAAAAAAGAAATAGTCAAATTCAATTCTTAAATTCATAAATACGAAAGAGAGTATGAAAACGAAAATCCTAAGATCAAAACAACGGTCGCTAATGGCCTCTAAATCTTTTCGACTAGAATCATGGAAGGGTTTATTGTATTAACTTACCTATTCCCAAATAGTAGGAGGGGAATATACCTTTTTTGGGATTGTATGCAGAAAGATCATTTGTTTTTTTGGACAATGAGGCCACAATTACTTTTAGTCATTAAATGCGATATCTGACAACTTGAGATTTATCATAGAAATTTAAATTTTTTTGACTGAGCTCAATCAATGACAAACCTCCTCAAACATTTGATTTTACATCCAGCTGTGTTTGTGGCCTCCTTGTATCAAAAGTATATATATATATATATATATTATTTTTATGTTTATTTTCTTTTAACCGCTATGACAATTGTCATTGATCTTGTCACGGTAATGTCCAAAATTTTTATGTTTTTTTTTCTCCCTTAGTCTGGCTCCAGACACCATTCTAATTTGAGATGGGGGATCGTTGTCATTGAATAGTTTTAAGTGACTCCCTTTCAATGATTATCTGTAGACTGTCATGGAGTAGTTTTGTAGCTTGAACCATATACAGAGTTTCTTCATCATCCAAGGTGCATATTAGCACCGATCCCGAGTAGTGCAACAATGTTCTCTGGACCGAGTCTCGAGTGATATCACCTACTAAGAATTGGGCTTGGGCTTGAGTTTGAGTGGTTAGCAGCATATGTTTAGCAGTTCTACATCTCAAGTTCGATCCATACAGATGAGCTACCCAAAAAAAAAAAAAAAGATTGGAGAGTGATATCACCTAGTCTTGCAAGTCGAAGATCGTCCGAAACTCTGAAAATTACATATACTATTTTGCAAAATGGTGTTATGTAATTAAGGATATTTTCAAAATAAGAGAAAAAAATAGGAAATATCACGATATACACCCATCCTATAACCTTCATAATTCTATGAATCTATGTAACCATAATAGATGGGCACTGGACTGCTATTCTGGATTAGTACTACTATCTTCCTTCTAGGGTTGTGTTTGCGTGCGATGGTTTTGGAGCCTCACATGTAAAGAATTTGCTGCATTAGTGGCTATTTGATAATAGCCCAAGGAAAAAAAACCTACTTTCCCATTATTCACCATGGGAGAAGCAGTAGGGCTGCACAATCACCAGCTATAGTTATAACCAATGTTTTAAAACGTTGATCGGGTTGCCGGATCGGTCAGTAGTTGACCGATTTAGATTGTTGGATCAGGCGATTCTTTGGTTTATAATCAGTTAAAAAAAGTTTAAATAATATTATTAAATTTGACAAAAATAATTTTTATCAAAATAACATAAAAGATACTATTTAATATTGGAAATAGTTTATATAAAAGCAAGGCCT